CCCGCCGGGCCCTCCCCGGCTGCTCTGAAGCTCCTTTCTCTCGCCCGCCCCCCGGCTACGCGCAGTCCGCCCCGGGTTGTTGACCCCGGCGTGACCCCGGCGTCCTGCCCGCCCGCCCCCACACACCCTGGTGACCCCCGCCCGCCCGCCCGCCGGCCCCGCCGCTTTTTTCTGCTCTGCGGTTCCCCAGCCCGGGAGCCTCCTCCTGGCCCCGCCGTAGCTCTCTCCCAGCCGCGAACTCTCCCCTGAGCTCTCTCCTCATCCATCACCAGTGGAGTTTTTATTTTTATTTTTTAAAAGTTTAGGTGCCTTTGCGGATGACCTCATTTTGATGTTGGGGGAAAAATGATTTTTTAATATGTGAACACTGCAAAAAAAATGTGTTTAAATTATCTTTTTTAAAACCTATTCAGGGTTATTAGCCTTGACTTCGACATAGAGTTTGTAAATAAAGGTGTCTGTGCAGGTTTTCCCACTGATGTATTTGTATAAAATACTCATCTTTTCAGACTGTTTTGTAAACCCTCACTTGTGAACTCTCCGGTTTAGCAGTGACCTCAGCAACCCCTCCGTTTTATTTGTCCCTTAAAAATGTTCTCAGTTAAGCTAAGCTACTGATTTGGATTTGTTATATCTTATCCTAAAGTCTTTGTTCTTGAAATGAAAGGTATTTGGGGGTTATTTATTATGAAAACAACATGCTCTTCATGTTGACTTTACACTATGAATATATTATTTAAATAAATTATTGTTTTCATTGGACGTGTGCGTTTTCACCTTGGTGGCACGGCCTGGAGCCTCCAGCCCCTTCCCAGGCGGGGATCCTGGTCAACCAAGGGTGACCTGTACATCTTCCTGCGGCTGTGGGAGCAGCGAGTTGCGGTGAGGCCAGGACAGGCTCACTCCTCAGGCCCCGTGGAATGTTCGCGTTCTGCCCCCATCCGCGTCTGGACGCGGGGTTCGTCTGCTGGAGGCGCAGTGAGTCACTCAGCGCCCGGCGGCTCCCGTCTCCGCCCTTTCTGCCCGGCCGGCGCCGGCGCCCTGCGCCTGGGAGGTCTCTGCCGCCTCCGCGTCCAAGGTGCTGGCCCAGCGGTGCTTCCGAGCCGCCTCGGGGAACCCGCAGCCGGAGCCCCAGCGCTGTGGAAGCCGGGGGTCAAACCCCTACATTGGCCCCTCCCCTCTGTTTGCCCCGCAGCCCTTCTGGGGTTGGCTGAGTGGAGAACTCAGTGAGTCACCCAGGCCCTCGGGAGACTCGGTTGGCTGCTCTGGAATGCAGGGCGACCTCAGGCACAGGGCTTCCCCAGCGCACATCCATCCCACACCGTAACCCTCCCAGACACATCGATACTGCCACGCGCTCTCAGACACACAGTCACACGCTCACACTGAACCATACCCCGCGACACAGATGCACACACAGTGATATGCACACTCATGCACACAGGCACACTCACATGCACGTGGAGACGGATGCTCAGTGCGTAGGCAGTAGCCTCTTCCCACCTCACATTCTCTGAGAAGGGTTCACACATCATTCAGCTCTGCTTTCCACCTTGGGTCCCGCCCAACTAGCTTCCAGCTTATGGAAGTGACCCTACTTTCTGGCATTCTCCGCAAAAGCCAGGGGTAGGTGAGTAACGCAGGCCTGAACTTAAAGTTCCTTTTTCTTGAAAGCCCTGGGGCCTACCGTTGGAAGCTTCCTGGCTTCACTCACGGGCTGTGTGACTTTGGGCTACCCACTTCACCTCTCTGTGTTGTGGGGTGCATACCTCTAAGATAGGAGAAATAAAAACAGCTATCTCAGAGTCGTGAGCATTTGATGAGGCCATGATGTAACACAGTGCCTGGCACATACTAAGCACTCAATACATTTTTGCTATGAGTAGTTATAATGCTTGAGCCCAGTGCCCCCAAACAAGAGGGCTTTACTTTTGCTTGCAATTAGGAGGCCCAGAGTTAGCCAGAGGCCTTTCCAACCTCATCTTGTGTGGAAGAGCAGCACACAAGAGAGGAGGTTGGCAAGCCAGACAGCCCTGCTTGCGGGACCCAGGCCTCCTCTTCTCTAGGATGGTGACTCCGTTCATCCTTGTTGTGTGTCTTAACTCACCTCTGCCAAAAAGACAGACATCAGACAGGAGCGAGTGTCTAGGCTCAGTGGCATCAACCTGAGCAGAATTCCAATTTTTCTGGCCAGATTGTTTTGGGGCCTGCACCGAGCCTGCTTTACAACCGAGTGTGGTCCAGGGAGTTGGGGCTCTGCAGAAGGCAGGGAGGTTACACAACCCTGTGTCCGCTTGCATTCCTGCGTGTTTTCCCAGGCTGAGGAGGCCTGGGCTGAATCCCATTGACCCCGCGATTCTGGCTTCCCTAAGCAGCCGCCGCCTCGCAGACCCCATCCCAGCCCTCCCTCCCCCCAGCTCCAAATTCCGTGGTTTTCTTTGAGTGCCAATAGCTGGTGCCAGGCTTCACCCTGCGGTTTACTGTGCCCTCCCCTCCTTTGCGCGCACTCCCCTCCCCAACCCCCATCCTCTGAAACCAGCAAGGAGAAGCGAGGGCGTAAATTGGCTGGTGTAGAGGATCTGCAGCAGACAAGATGATTAAGAGGCCTACGCCGGAGCGCCCGGGGCAGGGAATGTCAGCCCAAGTTGGAATCACGCAACAGGCCTTGGCATGAGCGAGCCTGGGAGCCGGGAGGCGGGCGGCCCCAGCTCCGGGGTGGGCCGGAGGCCCCACAGACTTGTCTGGAGTCACCAAACCTGGCACCCGGCGGCGGAGGGGTCGGGGTCGGGGCAAGGCGGCGCCTTTCCCTGGGAAGCTCGCTGGAAGCAGAGGGCAGAAGGGTGCAGGG